AAACTTGACCAAAAAGAAAAAACCTGTTCAAAGTTGCTATTGCACTGAAATGACTTATGACCCTTTTTCACATTTATGACCATTGCAGCATGCCCAGGATCATGTGATTTATATTTGGATGCTTGGCAACTGATTCCTTTTTATGATGGTCACAGTGTTCCAGGGTCATGTGATCCCCTTTTGCAACTTTTTGACAAGCAAAGTCAATGGCAGGGCTGCTGGTGGCCAAGTGCTAAGGCGGGACTTCCCTCCCTCCCTCTTTCTCATGCCCACCTCCTTCTGAAGGAAGAATTTGAAAACCCCCCCCCCCCCATATTTTCCCTCTTCCATATATTCATCAAATAAGGAAAAGCCTCCAGAGACAGAAAAGACAAGCTACTGAATGAACTAGCTTAAAAAGGCACAATCCCCTTTAAGAATTAGCTACTGGCTAGAAGAGAAAGTTAAGGAGCACAGCCGTACTTAAAGAAGAAAAAAAAATGTAAGTATTGGCTGCCAGCTAAGGCAGCCTCCCCAAATGGCTCCATTCCTAAGTAAAGGAATGCTACAGGCAAAATCCATTCAGGAGAAAAATACTTCAAAATCCCTTGCAGCAAAACTTATAGCTAACAATAGCAGAGCAATAGAAGCTAACACAAGACATCAGCCATCAGCCAAATAGAAATGGCCAAACACTCCTTAAGAACACAAAGCCCTCATTGCACAAATCCCAGAACTTCAAAGTCACAAAAACATATAAGAATCCTTCCACTCTCCATCTCCCTCCCTCCATGTCTCACCTCCAGCTGATGCTACCCCTCCCCTGCTGCATTTCTTGCCTGTTTATTGCTGCCAGCATAGGTGGCTGCCATAGAAGTTATAGATCGGCTCATGGCCGACCTGCTTGATCTCCTCCCCCCCTCCTCCTTCTCCTTCCCCTTCAGTGCAGCTAGAGCTGACTCCACCTCCTCCCAAGGTTGCTTCTTTTTTTCCCTCTCCCTATCCTACCCAAACTGCCTCCTTTTATAGCCTCTCCGCCCCATCTCCTTCTCCTTTCTCATGGGAGAGGGTGAGCCAGAAGTGAGCCTGGGGCCTTTGTCTCACCCCAGCCACTCTGCAGCTCCAGAGGACTCTCTCACAGTAAGTCCTTGCCTGTGCTGGCTCTTTCCCTCCCCCACTACACTTGGCTAGGCAGGGCTGTGTACCACCTGCCACTCGTTAATGTACCACAAGTGGTACATGTACCACCGGTTGAAAAGCCCTGAGCCAAGCCTTCCCTCCTTTGTTCCTAAGAGCTCATCAGAGCTCAGAAAATGTAGCTCATTTCTACTAAAACTTTGCATGCATAAGATCCCATATTCAATTATTGGTACCTCCGAGTAAGAAAAGCTTGCTAAAAATCCTAAGAAACTGGTATTGCTTAACATCAACAAGTTTTTGACTAGATGCATAAATAATAATACTCAAACTTGATAACTTTAAGGCAGCGGTTCTCAACCTATGGGTCACGACCCCATTTGGGGTCAATCGACTATTTCATGGGGGTCGCCAAACCACGCTGTCCGCCATTTTTTTCCCTTTTCCCTAGCTGTCCTACTCCCTCTTATTGGCTTTCAAAAGTGCCGTTCCTGCCTCCCTCCTCTTTGCACATGCACAGCTTTTTTCTATATAAAGTTAGGAAGTTTCGGTTTCAGAGCACATGGCGGAAAGCGATACAGAGGACAAGCGGCAGAAAGTGAAAGAGAGCAAGCAGCAGAAAGCAAGAAAGAAACAACCAAAAGCGGTAAGTTTCCTCTCTGGGAGAAAGGGGTTAGCAAAAGGGTGCCACAAGCTTAAAAGAGATCGCAATAAAGAGGACAGCAAGCATGCATACCGTCCACCCAAACACACACCAAGTCTTGTTGCGGCAACGTTAAGCCATGACTTGCCTCCTTTTAGTCTGCTTATTCAAATGCCTTTGTGATAAGTCAGTAGAATCAAAACTCCCTCTCTCTCTGGTGGCATTGAACCCACAGCAATGGTGTGAATGTGTGTGTGTTTGTTTAAACAGCAGCAACAAACAACAACAAAAAGTATGTGTGTGGGGGGAGAGGGGAGATAATGATAAAGGCGACAGACCGGGTTTTCAAGCCGATCTCTTTCACGGTGTATCCAGCCCGACCCCATTCAGAAGAAAGAAAGGCTGCAGCCAGAAAGAAACGGGGGAAAGACATCTGCACCTTTTGTTACACTCTCCGAAACCCCCCCTCCCATTTCTCTGGCCTCTCGCGCAGATCTGTTCAGGGAGCCACACAATTCCGGGAGGCGAAAAGGGGCACAGGGATATTTCCAGAAAAGAGCGAATCCAGTACACACAGCGACACCCATATTCTCCCCTGCAGATTCTACCTCTCGCTGCAAGAAAACGCGTTTAAAGTTTCTCTGCCCCTTTCTCCCCTTTTAAACCCAAGACCTGCCTCATTTGCAGACTAGAGCGCTTCCCCGATTAGCCCAGCTTAAAACCTTAAAGCTCGGGCGTCCCTCAAAAGCCGCTTCTCCTGACGCCAGGATCAAAGAGAAAGCCGTTTAAACTTCACCTATTATTTTCCCCCACCCCGGAAGGTAACTTAGATTCCTCCATATCGCGTTCACCCAAGCCGAGCCACCATCTGAAAATGGGCCCTCGGGTTGGGCATTGATTGCCACCTGCAGTGAGCAAGGGGGGGAAAGCAGGGACCACCTTACCTGAAGCCCCCGTGCATCCTTTCTGGAGCCGCTGACGCTGCCCACTCCAGTTCCCCACTCTGCTTACAATGGGTGCTAGCTAGGCAGGCTCGCTTCCTCCGCCGCCTCCGCCGCCAGTAGCAGTAACTCCAGCCTCACTGCCTCACAAGCCCACAGGTGACATCGCCTTTTGGCCTGATAGGATGCAATGTGAATCTGGAACTACGTAAGGGAGGCTCGCACAGAGAAAGCCTCCTACCAGCTCGCTGCCTAGTGCGCTCTGGGAGATAGAGTCTGGATCGAGTTGTTGGCCATAGGCAGCTGTATGTCAAGGACTACCTTTCCCAAAAAGCCCTGTGCACCCCCACTTTCTCTGCCGGTTTTTTTTTCTTCCCCTCCCCTTATCCACCAGCTCGAGTACGTTCGCGTTCCCTGAACCAAAAAGCCATCAGGATTTACAGAGAAAAAGACACACTTAAGTCACTTCTTGAGAAATTACTTGAAGAAATGTATGCCAGATTCACCCAACAAACTTTGCCATGGTTTGTTTTGAACACGATTAGCTGAATAAACCATAACAGCAGCTTCCACAGTAAATCATGGTTTAACAACCACAAAACCAAGATAAGATTTGTTGGTTTGTTTTGGATGCTGGATGAATCAAATCATAATACCCCAGGCTCTTTAGCCACTGCAGGGAAACACTTCTTCTCACTGAATGTATGGGATGGTAATTTTTTGCTCCTCCCCCTTTTATTATAATTATTGATACAATATATTATTTCAATGCAGATTTCAGTGAAGTAATGTTTAACAATATGATTAAAATTATTAACATTTTTTTTAAAAAAGTGTTGAAAATAAAACATTCTATCAGTGTAATTGCCATTTAGGACATCAATATTACAAGCATAAGAATATTTAACTTTTTATGCAAAGTTGAGTAGAAGATATTCTCCGTTTTCATTCATTTAGCCACCATAATGTTCCTCAAAGGAAAACTCCATTTTTCCCTGATCCAGACCATGAAGAAGTTTACACACAGTTGATTGGTCTTGCCAGAGTTCATCAGGTGCCTGGTTCAGCATAAAGGGGAGCCCTTTGCAAGCAGCAGTGATATAGTATTACTAATGGATTTTTATTTTTTAAGCATAGTGATAAAATCCTTTCTGGTCTGAAGGCTTGTTTTAAAGGGCTTTCTTTTTTTTGACTTTGTTCTCTTCCAAAAGAAGCTTGTGGTGCATGGTTTACACTTGGCAACTTTTTCATCAGTAAATCTTGGCTTAGGTTGAGACTATTTTAAAAATAATTCCAGTCACCTTTGTAGTTTTCCTAGAAACATCCAGAGAAATGGTTTTTTTTTCTAATTACAACCTGTGTCATTTGGGGGTGGTCATGTCTACCAGATACAGAGCTGCAGATACCCAGAATTGGTCCTGCAACCTTCGATTGTCTCCCACTGACTCAGATCCACTTAAAAAATATTCCTCTACTCTGCTTTTTTCCAAGTACAAACAAATGCTCAAAGAAATCAGCTTGGACTTTGGAAGGAGGTGGCATCAGTATGTTGATGGCATTTTGTTTGCCTTGTGTTTGGCCCAGAATCAGTGCCTGAGAGCAGTAAGGGGTTGGGAGGGAGCCAGTCAACTAGCTGAGCTGATTGTGCAGTCAAATGGTGTCAGTCTGCTTTCCTTTCCTCCTGAATGAATATTCTTCACCTGAATGCCCTCTTGATGTGTGGATTAGAATTTACCTCAACTGATGCTATCAACTGGTGATCTGGAGATACAGATCTTTGATACAGTTTTGGTAACTTCTGCAATGTGCTGCCTATGACTTCTGGTTTGTGGTTTGGTGATCTCTGTGTTTTCTTGCAGATGTTTCATTATCAAACTAGGTAACATCAAACTAGGAAATACCGTATTTTCCGGCCTATAAGACGACCCCCAACTTTTGAGAAGATTTTCAGGGTTTAGAATCCTAAACCCTGAAAATCTTCTCAAAAGTTGGGGGTCGTCTTATACGCCGGAAAATATGGTATTCCATTTCTAGTTTAAGTTTCTGTTACTACTAAACCTGTGTTAAGACCTTATCAATTTACAATTTCCATAATCAAATATTGTTTTACTTCAACAGATTATCACTTCAATTATCTCTTCCAGATATGTTCAAGTCCTTAATCTCTCTCATCCCTCTTTTAATCACCAGTCTCATTTATATCTTCTTCCAATAATAACTAACTTAGTTAAAAAAAAACAATGTTAAACCTTACTTCATTTCAATTCATTACACAAACTTCAAATCACATCCAAATAATTATCATACCTTATCAGATCATATTATTATACACAAAAATCACCTAATTAATTTAAGCACTTCAAAGTTCCAGTCTAAAAACTCAACATTTTTTTCAATTCCAGTACATATATATGTCTAAATATTGGGCAGATTCTGCCTACACTCCCTGAGATTGGGTGGTGCATCTTGGGCTCCCAAAACATGATGAATACGCAGTTATGTGGCCACCTAAATATGGACTTGTGTTTTCTCATGGTCTCAGATCTCTGGCTAAAAATTTGAATTGCATGAGTCTGGTTTCTTTCCCAGGATAGTTGAGTTGATTTTCCACCAAAGGAGTAAGACTCCTCCCGTGAAGTTGGTGATTGCTGGCTGTGAAGTTCTGGGAGTTGAAGTCCACATGCCATAAAATTGTCAAGGTTGAGAAACACTGGGTTTGTAAATAGAACAACACAGAGAATGGTAAATCATAGGAAACTTTAATGAACTGTTTTGACTGAACTATGCCATGTGTCATGTTTTGTATTATTGAAACTATTGTTACATATTTTCACTAGCAAACCATTCAAGACAATGGATCCGAAGAACATCAGGAAAAGGAAATATAGTGAGGATTTCCTACAATATGGCTTCACGTCTATATATACAGTGGGAATCAAGAAACTGCAGTGTGTACTTTGTTCCGAAGTTTTATCAGCAGAATCGATGAACCCTAACAAACTTAAACGACATTTTGAAAGCAAGCATCCAAGCTATGCTGGCAAGGACACAAACTATTTCAGAGAAAAATCTGATGGACTGAAGAAAGGCAGACTTGACACTGGTGGCAAGTACCACAGACAAAATGTAGCGGCCATTGAAGGGTCATATTTGGTGGCACTCAGAATCGCCAGAGCCATGAAGCCTCACACTATTGCAGAGGAATTACTGTTGCCAGCGGCCAAAGACCTTGTTCGAGTTATGATCGGAGACGAATTTGTGACAAAATTGAATGCAGTTTCCTTGTCCAATGACACTATCCGCAGAAGAATAGATGACATGTCTGCTGATATTCTTGATCAGGTAATCCAAGAAATTAAATCTGCTCCACTTCCAATATTTAGTATCCAGCTTCATGAATCTATAGACGTTGCAAACTGTTCCCAGTTACTGGTTTACGTGAGGTATATTTACGATGGTGACTTTAAAGACGAGTTTCTGTTTTGCAAACCTCTTGAAACAACAACTACTGCATGTGATGTATTTGACAAAGTTGGTTCATTTCTGAAAGAGCATAACATATCTTGGGGAAAGGTTTGTGGTGTTTGCACAGATGGTGCTCCAGCTATGCTAGGATGTAGATCTGGATTTCAACGTTTGGTACGGAATGAGTCACCAAAAGTCATTGGAACTCACTGTATGATTCATCGGCAAATATTAGCAACAAAGATGCTGCCACAAGAATTACGAGAAGTAATGAAAAGCATCATAAATTGTGTCAACTTTGTAAAGGCAAGCAGTTTAAACACAAGATTGTTTTCACAACTGTGCAATGAGTTGGATGCGCCAAACAATGCTCTATTTCACACTGAAGTGAGATGGTTGTCGAAAGGAAAAGTTTTAAAACGTGTTTTTGAGCTTTGTGATGAACTCAAAATGTTTTTTATTCAGAAAGAAAGACCGCAGTTTGAAGCTATTTTCAGCGATAACAGCGAACTGCAGAAAATAGCTTACTTGGTTGACATCTTTGCCATCTTGAATGAGTTAAATTTATCACTGCAAGGACCAAATGCAACGTGCCTTGATTTGTCTAAAAAGATCCGATCATTCCAAATGAAATTGCAGCTTTGGCAAAAAAAATTGGATGAAAATAAGGAACATGACATTGAACCAGACAACAGGATTACATTGATAAAATCTGTTAAAGAACACCTGTGCATGCTTGCAGATGAAACCTCATCGTACTTTCCAAATCTACCTGACACCCCATTTGCATTTGCGAGAAGCCCATTCACAGTCAACGTTGAAAATGTTCCTGAGACAGCACAAGAGGAGTTCATTGAACTTATTAACAGTGATGCAGCGAAAACTGATTTCTCCACAATACCAGTTACAAAGTTCTGGATCAAATGTTTGCAGTCATATCCTGTTCTGTCTGAGACTGTGTTGCGCCTTCTTCTTCCATTTCCAACAACATATCTTTGTGAAACAGGGTTTTCCAGCTTGTTGGTTATCGAGTCTAAATACAGAAATAGACTTGTTGTGGAAGATGATCTTCGGTGTGCTCTTGCAAAGACTGCCCCGAGAATTTCTGATCTGGTGAAAAGTAAGCAACCTCAACCTTCACACTGATGTTGGCTTTTTACGCATACTGTTGAAAAATGTAGCAATGTAGTTTACTGTTGTTATATTAAGACTGTTACCCATCCTACACCATGCTTCAACACAAAATTTCATTGTTTTGTAATTAAAAATAAATATTTAACAATATATAATTACATATTGTTTTTGTGATTAATCACTATGCTTTAATTATGTTCAATGCAAATATATCCTGCATATCACATATTTACATTGCAATTCAGAACAGTAGCAAAATTACAGTTATGAAATAGAAACTAAAATAATTTTATGGTTGGGGGTCACCACAACATGGTGGCCACGCCCACTTGGTGGCCACACCCACTTGGCCATGCCCCCGGGGTCACCACAACATGGGGAACTGTATTATGGGGTCACGACATTAGAAAGGTTGAGAACCACTGCTTTAAGGCATGTGAACTTCAATTCTCAGAATTCCCAGGCTAGTCTGCTGGCTGGGAGATTTTGGGAATTGAAATCCATATGTCTTAAAGTTACCAAGTTTGAAAAACACTGACTTAACTAAATGGGTGAGTTTACTTACTGTGCTAAATTACAATTTTTTCAACCAACCAGAAATGGCTCTGTCTGTATGTTTTGCTAAGATAAAGTATGGTTTCTAAATCACAATGACCGAACCAAAACTAATTATATTGTGGCTTTGTCTTAGCACTTAGTTCTTAGTACTAACTCATATTTGTCAAGTTGTTATGATCCAGGTCACATAGACCAGGGCTTGTCAACCGGTGGTACGCGTACCACTGATGGTATGCAACCACCTAGCTGGTGGTACGCAGCATCGCTTTCCTCCCCCCACTGCGTCGCCTTCCTTCCCCCCGTTCCGCTGCTTCCCACCTCATTTGTTTGTAGAAAATATGCTGCGGCAGCCTGCACGAACTCTACCAAATGTGCCCTGCAGGAGGCATATGAAGAGCGCAGGTGCAGAGCAAGGCCCCGCCCTCCCCAGGGACTCATTGTGCAGCAACCGGATTGACTTCTCGTGCACACAGGTCAGTGAAGGGGAGGCTGCCACAGCGCCAAACTCCTGCATCTGTCAGCTGGTGACCCCCGAACTTGCGCTTGTCAGCTGGGAGGTCTGGCGATGGCCGCCGGTCTCCTTTGCCACCCCGCACATCGTCCTCGACCCCTCCTCCCACCCGTTCATGTCGAGCCTGCGGGGGCTTGACAGGGAGAGAGGGAAGGAAGGAGGGACTCCTCCTCTCCTAAGGTTCAAAGCATGATCAGCTTCCCAAGGGTGCTATAATCCTCACAAAAGTGGGGGGAGAAACAAAGGGGGTGAGAGAGCTCACGGCGGGCTCGAAGGAGCACCTGTCAGCAGGACAATCCTGAGTCTTCAAGTGGGGAAAGCATGCAGCTGCAGCCAGTTAGTGATGAGGAAGAGGAGCTGCCTTCTCACCTGATCAGAGAACATGTAGGGCAGAGAAAAGACAGAAGCAGCAAAAGTCAGCCTGATTACTCATGAGGAGGTAGCCTCATCCCTCTTGATGGGCTGCACTGTTTAGCACAGCAAACAAATGGAGACGATGGTTGGGACAACATGTTTATTTCTTAGCTGTATGTTTTCTGGTCTTTATGATTCCTGCCTTGCTTTGGATTGACACTGTGCCTTGAATTTGGATTGTGCCTTATGAACTCTGGACTTTTCTTGCCTTGTGAACCTCTTGTGTTGTGGATTTAGTTTTACCTGGTGGATTTGTCTTATTTGGGAAACTTTCAAGTACCTTGTGGACTCATTGGCCATTGCTCTGTGGACTAGCATCAGTCTGCTTTTGGCTGGACTTAATTGGGACAGTTCTGGAGTTTTGGTGAAGGGAATTGTTGGGGAACATTAATAAACCTACTAAAACGGGACAGCACAGATGGTAAGTCAAACATACTAATTCATAAAAGTTCACTGTCTTTCAAAACTCGGTAGACGCTGCACGTTTTGCAGGAAGACCATTTTTTCCATCAAGGATTTTTTTAAAAAAACCATTATGACATTTTCTACAGTGATCCATAAATACAGTTTTTAAATAAGTATTTAACTGCAAGTTAAAAATATGAGAGAGGTGAATTATTTGCTGTATTATATCCTATTTTATCCTTGCAGTTAGTCCCATCATCTCCTTTTAAAACATGATCAAAATATAATAGCAGAGTTATTGTAAAATCAGTTTTCTATTAAGGTTTATCACATTCTCCACAAAATTATTATTTTCTATGAAGTCTCCAGCAATTATGTTAATGCAGTCCTTTTTTGATCCAGGTTGCTGTTTCTTTATCCACATATTTAGGAATGGAAGAGCCTTCTGAGTCATTTTTTTCACAGAACTTTTTATATTTGTCAAAATATATCCTAAATCTGCAGTAAGATTGATTCCTGCGACAAATAATCCATCTGGAAGGCAAAAAACAGGAATAAGAATTGCCATTTGATTCTTGTAACAATTACCAACAATTTTCTAAAGAAGGGAATGTCTCACCCATTTATTTTAATAAGTTATGGTAACTCACTTTATTTGCAAACTATATGCATTATGAGTATCCTTCAGATGACTTGCAACTAAGGGGCAGGAAAAATATTATCTTTCTTACATCTTATTTTGGATGAGTCCCAAATTCAGTCTAGAAATGTCTGCTTGTGTATCCCCAAATCAACCCAAATTAAAACAGATGTACTATAACATCCTTGTTACAGTATTCAGTATATCAAATGTTGCTCTGCTCATATTAAATTTTTTATATGCAAAGTATTTTTATATATATCCATCTGACTGCAAAGATGAGATCACACTTCTGAATAATGTGAAAAATTTGAAACTAATGAATCCCTGTCACTTTTCCTGCCACCTTGTTTCCAGCCAAAAACATAGGCTGCAGGAAATCTAATCAAATTAGAGTAATATCATTAGGATCAGAGGAGCATCTAGTAATCTGATTCAGATCACTAGAGCTACAGCAAATCCTCATAATTGAAGATGGCTTGGCTTTTGTGGTTTCTGTTGCATCATCACAAAAGCTGGTTGCTGCGTTTTGGTGGATATTTGTGGGAATGCTCATGGAGGGAAACTCAGGAGTTGATTCAGAATATACATCATATATGCAGAAGGGACAAATACCTGGGCGACCACTTTGCTTCCTTTTTGCCAAAAACTCAATAAGCTTTCGTGCTGTATCCTTATTTCCCCACCAGTATGGAATTGCAGGCCACAATTCACTATGTTTTATCAATTGCTCTATTTTGTCATAAGACAAAATAACCTGGTAGCCACTGGACCACATATTCCATAGGGTTGGGACAATCTGAAAGGAAGAATAAGATAATATTTTGTATTCCATTTATTTATATCTTACCTTTATTATTTTTACAAATAACTCAAGGTAGCAAGCAAACATACCTTCCTTCTCCTATTTTCCCCACAACAACAACCCTGTGAGGTGAGGTGGGCTGAAAGAGAGTGACTGGCCCAAAGTCACCCAGCTGGTTTTTCTAGCTAAGGTAGGACTAGAACTCATAGACTCCCTCTTTCTAGCCTGATGCCTTAACCACTAGACCAAACTGGTTCTGTATTATTTATATCAAATAGACTTGGGATACATCTGCAATGAACTCTATTGGACAAGTTCTGCAGGGGTCACTCAGTATTACCCAAGAATTGTTCAAATTTTGCCAAGTATTACAGTATCATTTAAAATTATATATGATCATTCCACATTCCCCCAATACATTATCTGATCATACCAAAGCTAATTAGTTATCTCATAAACTTAAAATCTCAAAACTAAGTTTTCCAAGCAACTCACATTTCTAGGACACAGTCTGGAACTGAAGATCTTCTTTATACAAGACACCAAATGATTATGATGATTCTCATCCAAGCCATCAAAATTTCTGAAAGCTAGAACAACTACTTCCCAAGGATGGTTTTTCAACCATCGTAAAATGTCCCATAGAACAACCTATAAAAATCAATGTAAGATTGATAAATGCAGTGTGAGATTTGGCTTTGTGACACGAGGAAAGTGAAGCAACTATAATCGGCCAATTTCTCAATTCTATTGTAACATACTATCAGACCAGGAAATGTTCATTGTACAGGATATTCCATGTGAACTGGAAACTGGCTATTTACATATTCTTTCCTCTTTGATGTACATAAACTTGTAATGGGTACTGATCATCTAGAAAACCATACAAAATCCAACTAAATGTTACCATAACTATGAAATATTGTCTACATTGTGATTCCTAGAAAGCCTAGCTTCAATTTTCATGCTTTATAAGTATTTGTAATCCAACAAATTGAAAATTACTACGTTAAAAAAAGGCTATCCTTCTTAAAAAGAACATTGTCCAAAGAGATAGGACTAACACTACTCTTTTCCTCCAGAATTGTTAGCGTGCTCTTTAATTCCAGATCCTAAACAAATTGTTGAAATTCTGCAGAATATTCCTGCACACAACACTCCTTGGCCAATCATTTGGCAGTCACTTTCTTGACTTGATCCTCAAAATCAGTTGTCAAATGTGCTGCAAAATGATTAGCATGCATCCTAACTGCAGTTATTCATGCAGTTATCAAAACCTATTCCAGCTGAAATCACAGGAGGGGGTGCTATTTCATGGGTCCCTAAATCATTAGGTTAATTCTTTACAGATCATTATAAACATCATCTGGCCTCAACAAGATGTATAGTTTACATTGGACAAGGAAGGCACTAGTTCTGGGCAGACTGGTTTGGCAAGAAAAGAGGCACTTCCTGTTGGATGATTTCCACATTTGCTCCAGAAGCTGCATATGAAGCATTGGCAGAATCAGTCTGCCCCCCTGCATTGGGAGGGATTTACTTGGGATGGTTGATTTCAGCTAGTTGGCTCATTATTTAGGATGGTCCATTTGGGTAGCCGTTTCGTTCTGACAATGCATTAAATCACTAGACATTTGTGGAATTAACAGAGAGCAGGTAACAAAAAAATTAATTATTGCTCTCTAGCAGTAGCAGCAATGGGGTAGGATTGGCAATCAAGCTGTCAGATTCTTGACTCTTCATGACTCAACTTGCTTCCTAAGCTAGCCTTGGCAGAAGGCAGTGTTTGGTCAAATAAGAATACTTAATGTAAAGAAGAATGAAACCAAAATATATCAACTGCTACTTACACACGCAGAGGTTTAGACCTTTTCATCCCATGAAATAATGGACTCTTAGCATACCACCTGGCAGCCGAAGTTAAACATTATTCAGCATTTGCATAAGTTGTTCAAATCAACTCTGCTCTGAAAACCACTAACTCTTAATGTACTTTGCACATTATTTTTAATTTAATTTGATTGGTGTTGGAACCAATTAAGGGAAACAAAAATCTTTGTTCCCTGAAAATAGGCCTTCATAAGGGCAGATACTTCAGACAATACAGTTATGAAGGGGGTATTGTTAACTCTCCTTTGCAAATCTGTATTTCAATGTCAATTAAAAAACATTAAATTTTTAATTAAGTAGCATAGCTTAAAAATATTTGATTAATGTTGTTTTTAATCCATTTAGATCATACTTTGATGAATAAGCAGAGACAGAGACAGAGATACAGAGACAGAATATTTCAGCCTAAGAATGTTGAAATCTATTAAAAAATAAATTTGAAAACATTGTTCCAAATTGTTTGCACCTAAAAGGTACATAAAAACATGATCAAATGAATTTTGCTAAAGTTAGTCATATTATTTAGAAGAGTTTATTTTTTTTATTTAGGAATTTATGCTATAATTGCTGTTCAATGCACTGTGGAATCTTAATAATTTTCCAACAATATGTAACTGGATGTGACATGTGGCAGGAATGCTTGAGTCAATATGATCATTTCTGAATCTTTACTAAGCACAAGTTTGGGAGTTGATTCAAGCAGTGGTTATCAGAATATTCATATCTGAAAAGCTGGCCACTGCCTGACTTAATACATTCGGTTTTATCCAAACAAACTTCCCTTAATGTATATCCTATTGAAATCAATGGGGCAAATTAGTTATGGATTGATTTGTATTCATTTTAATGGAAGCTACAGTAAGTGAAGTATTGATCCTATCCTATGAAATTTCTAAACCTCATCAATGAAAACCATGTTAAATACAACTGCATCTTCAAAATTGCTATATCTATGCATAATACTGTAAGCATAAACGTTCCAGTTCATAAGTAACAAGTATTTAGTTTTCATAGAGAAACCGTTATCAGTTTTAACGGATATAAGCATAGCTAACTTTTCTGGTGTCAGCTATTCCTGTCTCTCTCCAACCTCAATATCAGAGGCCACCATTGTTTTGCTGTGAGTCCCCATTAACTTCAATTTCATCAACATTATATATATATATATATATATATATATATATATATATATATATAACCATAATTCTTAGTCATTTAGTGGCTTGGTACTACTTTAAGTCTTCAGAAGATATAATGAGTTGAACAATACAGATAACTCTTCCTGTCATAGAAAAATAGTAACCCAATATACATATTTTGAAGCAAATAATCAAGCAAGACAACCTGACTTTGGAACTAGTGAGAGGCTGCTACTACTTGACATACATAAATGTTCTGGTATGTACATCAAGTAGTAGCAGTCTCTCATTGGTTCCAAAGTGAGGTAGTCTTGCTTGATTAAGGATTATTATACATCTGACATGCCTTTATGTTAGCAAACTAATCTGGCATTTTCCTACTCCATTTAAGGTAATATTATAACAAAATGTGCCATCCAATTTTCCAAAATGTTTTCTTTCTTCACAAGATGGTTTCTATTTGTATTACTCAGTCTTGGGATACTTTAAAATTACTTTTGGCGGAGTGTTTTAATTTACTTTATTCAGTGGTGGGATTCAAATATATGAACAACTGGTTCCTTGTGTGGATGCTGCTTCCGGAAGTCCATTCTGGGCCTGGCAACAAAAAATTAGCTACTGGTTCTGCCGAAGTGGTGCAAACTGGCTGAATCCCACCACTGACTTTATTGCTGCAAGATGGCAAGACATGGTATTCAGGACACAATCTATACACTCTAAAAATCATTGTCAGAACTGCAGGAAATTCCTGCTCCCAACATTAGATTCACCATTATGCTTTAGTTGGTGCACAAAGCTTTATGTTGGTTCACAATTTTTTTAAAAAAAATCTAAATATATCTACAAATAAATCTAAAAATGCCTAATGCAACAATATGGGATAAAAATGGCAAATGTTTTCATTTCTAGAGTTCTTCAAAAGATATGATGGTGTTGAACAACAAGTCAAAAATTCTAAAGTTCAGCATGTCTCAACAATGAGATCATGAAATTCAAAGCTAGTCTCAAAATGGAGATTCTGGACCAAATGTAGTAGTTCATGGTAAAGGTTATCAATATGAGAGATCAATATCTAGCTTTTAGGGACAAAGGAAATTGTTATTTTCTAATTCTGATAACATAAATGACATTAGTCTCCACTCTGCCAGAACAGGAAAAAGAAGCCAGAAGCATATTACTACTAAAAAGCTGGGTTTCCTCACTTCTGCACAGAAGGGACACTACACAATCCACATTTTTTAAATCGTGTATTTTACTTAAAACAATAATTTCAATAGAATTCAGTTAAGAAAATGTACCTCTACTTCCACTGTTGTATATAACATATGAACAAAGTATAATTTCATGGAAGGATCGTCGGATTTGTGAGCTATTCTAAAATCGAAATACCTAATTCCAGCATCCAATTGTTCCAACACAGTCAGATCCTGAAAAGTTAAAAAAAACACAAAGGTTTCCAAAATGTTTGCAAGAAAGATATATTTAATTAAGTTTCAATGATATACATTTCATAAATTTTAAACAGTTTCAGGAAGACAATGGTTTTGGATTGCAGTCTATAAGTCTCTGGTAAAACCCATAATTTCTAATAAAAAATAAATGGAACATAGACCACTTTCATCCAAAGATTTTGCTCTTCCTTATGATACCTGTATCAAGTTGTACTGCAGAAATTAAAAAAAAGTATAAGAAAATTTAATGTTGTAAAAACAGACCTCCAAAAAATGTTTACCTGTGTTATTGACCATCTCAAAATAATAGGGTGTACTATGCAATGCATATGTTTATCCAGTAACTGCAGCAATTTGGATCCATTTGCACTGACTTCTGACTCCTTATCCAGACAATATGTCATTGCATCATGACTACCTATATAGGATTAAAGACAAAGTCAACCTAATTCTAATCATTTGTCAGCCTTTTCAAATCTTACCACTGCACCAGAGTTCATCTCTAAAACTCTTCTTATTCTACTGTAAAACCAGAGAAAACTGATGGCAGAAACAGACCTAGTGGCCCATCAAGTCTGCCCTTTGACTTATTTTATAATTCCCAGCAAACCATTAAGGATTATTATAAGTAATAAATACAAATAATAAAACTCACCTGAGAGCAAATGGGTGGCATATGATTAGATAATCGTCAAGAAAGGATGACTTCTTTTGTAATGTTGAAGTAAGGTAAAACACACATCTCTTCATGAAAACAATCCTTCTTTAATCTCTGTATCAAATATGATAAGTGCTACCTAAGAACCCCCTGGGTGAATCAGATGTGTTGTACCTCTAGCACCAGTCATCTTTTGGGAGTTGTATGGTGCAGGGATTTGTTTCAGTGTGATCTTCCTGGGTTCTTCTTTAATGTATGTATGTATGTATGTATGTATGTATGTATGTACTGTATGTATGTATGTGTGTATATGTATGTATGTATGTACTGTATGTATGTATGTGTGTATGTGTATGTATATATACATACAAGGACCCACTCCCCACCATGGATAAGTCAGCAGTCATCTACAGAATTGACTGTGAGGACTGCCCCAGTAACTATGTTGGGGAGACCACCAAGAGAGTAAGAACCAGGGTCCATGAACATAAACTAGCAGTAAAAAGGGGCGAACAATACTCTAAGATTGCGGCACATATGACTGAATCAGGCCACCGATTTGACTTTGAAAACATATGTGTCTTGGCCAGTGACTATACGAAAGGGGGCCGCTTGCTTAAAGAGGCATGGCATATCGATCTTTGCCCAGCCCACTTAACGAGAGCTTGGAGCATGGGTAATCCCCCACCCCACTGGAGACAGCCTAAGGCAGGGGTCAGCAACCTGCAACAGTGAAAGAGCCACTTGGATCCATTTCCCTCACAAAAAAAAAATCCTGGGAGCCGCAAAATGTGCGCGCGCACACGCGCATGCGCACAGAACACAGGGCTTGATTGAAGAGAGGAGCTTAAGGCGAAACGTGCGCCTGCCCTGCCCCCCATCCAGCTCTGGTATGAACGGCTCTGCAGTCCTGGCTTCTCTTCCCTTCGGAAAAGACTGCTCTCCCCTCACCCCGCGCTCTCCCTCTCTGGGACTTTCTTCTTGCTGCCTTTTGGCACGAAGGTTCCCAGGGAGCGGAGGAGGAAGCCGACGGGGAGAAAGAGCTGCTGCAGTGAATGTTCTGAGGCAGCAGAAGACGGTCGCTCGGGCTCGCCTATCTCAGCCTGCTGCAGGAGGCTGGAGTTGAGGCTTCTGGTTTGCTCTGGGAGGGGTGCTTGGAAAAGGGAGGATGGGAAGCGGAAAGTGGGAGAAAGGACGCCTTCCAGCTCTCTGGGGTTCTTTCGCTGGGAGGTGAGGAAGCAGCAGATCTGCTCCGTGGGAGGTGGGAGCAGGCAGCCTCTCCTTCAAACTTTGCCAAGTGACTCCAGGAGCGAAGCGAGCTACGAGTCCTAGGAATGTCAACTTTGCGAAAGAGGGAGGCGATGGTGGGATTAAAATAAAACGGGGGGGGAGGTTGAGGAAACCCAGCAGATGCTTACATCAGAGGGCCAGCAAGAAAGGCAGGGAGAGGAAGAAAGCTTTCGGGGCTTGTGCACAGACATAGCGGACTCTTTCTCGTCTCCTGCCCTTGCTGCATCTCCTGTGGAGATCATTTGCAGCTCTCTGTGTCTCTGCCACTCAAAGCCATCCTGCAGCTTGCTTCTTGAAGCGATTTCAATCAGCCCCATTCATTGCCAAGAATCCCCATGGAAGTCAATGGAGGTCTGCGGCGAATCAAAAAGCCAGCTGCAGCACCTCCACGTCCGTTGATTTGACCAGCTCAGCGGCCCGGGGACGAGCAGGAACCGATGCCCCCACTGCCCGCCGGGCTTGCTGCCTGGCCTGGGGAAACACAAGGCCGGCTCAGCGGCCCGGGGACGGCCAAAACCCAATGCTTCTGTCAGCCGCCACTGCCGCCCAGCCCGGGGAGACGCGAGGCAGGCTCAGCGCCCCGGGGACGGCCAAAACCCAATGCCCCTGCCGGCCGCCACTGCCGCCCAGCCCGGGGAGACGCGAGGCAGGCTCAGCGGCCTGGGGATGGCCAAAACCCAATGCCCCTGCCGGCCGCCACTGCCGCCCAGCCCGGGGAGACGCGAGGCAGGCTCAGCGCCCCGGGGACGGCTACAAACAAATGTCCCCACCACTTGCTGCCTGGCCCGGGAAAAAACAAGGCTGGCTCAGCGGCCCGGGGACGGCTACAAACCAATGCCCCCGCCGCCTGCCGCACGGCCCGGGAAGATGCAAGGCTGGCTCAGTGGCCCGGGGATGGCCAAAACCCAATGCCCCTGCCGGCCGCCACTGCCGCCCAGCCCGGGAAGATGCGAGGCTTGCTCAGCGGCCTGGGGATGGCTACAAACCAATGCCCCCGCCGCCTGCCGCACGGCCCAGGAAGATGCGAGGCTGGCTCAGCGCCCCGGGGACGGCCAAAAACCAATGCCCCTGCCAGCCGCCACTGCCGCCCAGCCCGGGGAGACGCGAGGCAGGCTCAGCGCCCCGGGGACGGCCAGAAACCAATATCCCCGCCGTCTGCCGCCCGGGGAGACACGAGGCCGGCTCAGCGGCCCCGGGACGGCTACAAACCAATGCCCCTGCCGCCCAGCTCGGGAAGATGCGAGGTCAGCTCAGCGGCCCGGGGATGGCCAAAAACCAATGCCTCTGCCGGCCGCCACTGCCGCCCAGCCCGGGAAGACGCGAGGCTGGCTCAGCGGCCCGGGGAGGGGCAGGAACCGATGCCCCCACTGCCCGCCGGGCTTGCTGCCTGGCCTGGGGAAACACAAGGCCGGCTCAGCGGCCCGGGGACGGCCAAAACCCAATGCTTCTGTCAGCCGCCACTGCCGCCCAGCCCGGGGAGACACGAGGCCGGCTCGGCTGCCCCTCCGCCTGGTGCAGGTAAGCCCCCTCCCTCCTCCCCACTCACCCTCCATCTCCGGGTCTGCTCCTGCTTGGCCCACTAGGGCCGCAGCTTGCGGGAGGGCTGGGCCTTTCAACGGAGGCTCTGCTGGGCCGCTCCCAGCATCGATCCTGGGGCTTCCCCGCGTGGCTCTCTGGCCACATGCACCTCGGACTGGGCCAGCCCCGGAAAGGCCCTTCCTGGCCACCAGGGGGCAGGGCATCCGGCTGCAGGGCCAATCGGGAGCAAGGGGCAAATCTGCATGTGTGTGTGAGAGTGAGAGAGATAGAGAGAAGGGAAGCACAAGTGCCTCTCTGTCTCTGTCTGTCTCTCTCTCTATGAAAATGGCGGAGAAGGCTCCAGAGCCGCAGGAGGTGGCTCAAAGAGCCGCATGCGGCTCCGGAGCCGCGGGTTGCCGACCCGTGACCTAAGGAAACACCGAATATATCAATGGAGAGGATTATAGAGAAGACTTCCCCCTCTTACCTTCCTCAGCCCGGGAGTATCCAGATGGAACGCAAACAACGATTGAGACCTCCCCCCCTCCCAAAACGGTCAGACATCTCCGAGCATCTGAAGGAGCATCGAGAGACGCAGGAGCATCAACGTGTGGACTAGGGGTTTGCACACACACACCGGGACATCCGGAGGGGAGAGCATCGCCTGATAAGAGATCCATATTTAAAACACCCTTGGCGGGGGCATTGAATTGCCTGCCATATTTGGGAAGGGAAAGAGTAGCCTCTCCAACCCCACTGCCTATAACAACTCGATCACCCCATTCAGCGGTACCAACCCGAATGCACCAACAGGAAGTGTGGAGTGACCCCGATGAAGATGCACAGGGGAGGAACACCAAGAGTGGAGGGGAGAGAGCAGTGAAGGCTGATGCTCCTGACTGTCATATAGAGAACATCCAGGGTGAGTTAGTTAAAACTAGGATGGAATGTATAAAGATCGGAGATAAAGAGAGGAGACGCCTGGGAGCAACAACTACCAGACCATACTCAAAAAGGGGAGAAACAGCCTCATTAGCATGTTTGGTGAATACGACCCGCCCTCCCCACCTCGCAATGCCACTCTGCCCGTATCAACAGGCAACACGGAAGAACCCTCAAGACAGCACCGTGCAAGCAAGGAGCAAGGAGGAAACAGGGGGTGTGGTAGCAATTAACTTGAATAACATCTGCAGAGACCATGATTGGGGAAAACACAAAGAAAATAAGAGACAGTGCATTGCAACAGGGCAATCAGAACGGAGTGGGGAAGGGGGGGATGGAGGTGTGCAACTAAACAAAGTGGGTGTTGCAATAAAGCAAAAAAAGAGGGGGGGACATTCCACCAAACCCCGAATTTGGCAAAGAGAAAACATCCGATGACATTTACACAAGCAAGAAATGTAAGAAAGCAATTATTGCTAATAAGAAACCAACAACCGGGAAACAGCCTATTCCATCAGGCCCAATGACAAGATCTAGGAGCCGGGTGCAGACCCTGGCCAATCTATAAAGAGGACTCTCTTACTGACCGACATTTTGAGCCCTGATGATGTCAGCAGTTGCTGACGAAAGCTAGGCATTTTATTGGTTTTATTGTAATTTTATTGACGTTTTACTAAATTTTATTAAATTGTTTGGCACTCCCTGGTGCTCACATTTATTTGTTTGGTTTTATATATATATATATATATATATATATATATATATATATATATATATATATATATATATATATATATATATATATATGTTTTCTGAGGTTTTCGCGGGTATTTGTATGTAGGTCTTTGGTTGTTCGGGTTTTCTCCCGCGTAAAATTGGAAGTGTCTTGGCGACGTTTCGACGAAGTCCCATTCGTCATCTTCAGGCTGGTGTTTTCAGCTTCGTGCTTCGAGCAGCAATGTGTGGTCTTAGCTGTTTCTTCCTTTTAACTGCCAGTGGGGGTATGAACTGATTGGGTGGGAGCTTGGCTGTGTTCTGATTGGGTGGAGGTGTGTTCTGAATGGTTAGGGGCTTGGCTGTGCTCTGATTGGCTGGGGGAGTGTTCTGTTTGGTTGTGCTCAGGTTAGTCTGAGTTGCAGAGGGGTTTAAGATTTTGGGCTGCCTTGCTATTTTTTGGCTTCGCGTTCGTGGTCGTGCCTCCTCTTCATGGAGGGTGTCAGTTTGCTTCATGTATGGATTGGAGGGGTTTAAAGTGGCTAATGATGCAGCTGTGGTCTGGCTTCTGGTTTGTGGTCGTGCCTCGTCATCGGTGTGGCTTTGGGTTTGTTTTTTGCGTGGATGTGTGGTGGTGACCTCCTGTGTGGTTTTTGTGAGTGTGGGTCTGGTATCATTTTTTGTGTTAGGGAGTCGTTTGTCAATAAGGGCGGGTTTCCAAATGGCTGGTAGGCGGGAGGTATCATCTTGCTTGTTCATGCTGTGTGGGCGTTCTTCTATCTCGATGGCTTCTCTGATTATTCTGTTATTAAAATGTTCACTTTTGGCAATGGTTCTGGTATTTTTAAAGTCAATTTCATGAAAAACCCACTGTATACAGTTTTAGGTCACATTCTTAAATCTTATTCCAGCTTTCTTTTTGTGCCAAGCAGGTTTCCATAACAAAGCCTCTATATAAATAAATAAATCTCTCTTTATTCCTTGTGGTATCATTTGAGTCAAGAAAGAGCGTCCCCTCCTCTGTTTTAGGGACCTGACTCCTTTGTAGACAATCCCTTGTTGTTTTAAAAGTTCAAGTCTTGACATTTGAATCTGCAGAGTAAGACACTCCATTATGTCCAATTTTGTGGTTAGTAGTTGATTATCAAAATTGTCATAGTTCTCAATTAGTTGGATTGGCATGTCCATTTCTGTTAGTTTTGAAATTGTGTATAGTTTAGTTACAGTCATTTTTTGATCATCAGAAATCTCAACAGTTGTATATAGAATAACAGAATCTTCTTTAATGTTGATTAATTCCTCTTCTGTTGTTTTTTGGTCTGTAGAACAGTCAGATGAAATCTGAAGGTAGGTTTGTAAGTTCAAAGTAGAATTTCTGTTTTTTTATTTCTGTAGTACTCTCTTTTATTTGCAGACATATTTGCTCAATGGCTTCATAGATTTTTTTCCAATATAAGTTTACAGTTGAGTTGTGAATAGGGTTTCTCCATTTCAATAGTAACTAGAAACAGGCCTGTTATCTTTTAGTGGAGGCTGTATTTAATAACGTTTAGCCAAGTGTCCACCCCCACAGATTTAACAGCTGTTGAATTTCTGTGTCTTTTCCCTTTTGTGATGATCTAAAGGTCAAAACCAATCTCAGCATCAAATCGAAAAAAAAAACAATTGCAATTTTAAATTTCTCCACAGGATGTCCTCAATAGACTATAAAGTCTCTTCCCAGACACCAAAAATGATGTTGACAAAGTCAGGAAAAAATAATATTCTTCACATATAAACTAAATCCAGTAATAAAATTCAATAATAAAAATTTTTTCAAGATTCCGAAGTAAATAGAAATAAAAAATAGTCAATTAAAAATAATTTTCATTCCATTTTCAAAGCTTCTCTTCCCACACTAACAAACGCCGCTCTCTAAGAAGGGAAATAGTTCCAAAAATGCTTTTTACAGGAAACAAAAAAGAGAAAAGGGCTAAGAGAAGGGAAAAAAAGGTCTCACCCAGATCAACCATGGTGGTTCTTTATGCTTAGATGTTCTTCTGACTTTGGTTACAGTAGCAAAGTGATCGGCTATTTTACTGGCCAATCTTTTCTCCGTCAGCCCTAAGGAGCAATCTCGGACCGCGGAAGGAGCTGCCGCCCTTTCACAGTTGACAAGGGCCTCCTCAACAGTAGTCGCCCCTCCAGGGCAACTTTTCGACCCGATTAAGGGTCTACCGGCAGAGGGAAAGCAGCCAGCGAAGAGAGGAGTCTCTTAAAAAGCCTACACACGCCGCGATCCGAAACCGGAAGTCTTTAATGTATATTTTGAAGCATTGTCCCAATGGGAATGATTTTCACCACACCTTAATTTAGAGATTGATAGGACTTGGTTGGGGTAGCCATTAGAGCAACTTTTATTTCATAATGTTCAATTAAAGCTATCCTGGGAAGTCTTATGCATTTCTTTAAATCAGGGTTTGTGGAGATTGGGAAACTAAACTAAAAATTCTCTATCTGATTCTCATATTCAATGGAATAAATGATATATCCCACCCACTGAATGGGTTGCTAGTACAGACTGAGCAAGGAAAAGAGAAAATCCTTGTATGCTCGTGATTTTTTTCTTCAAGGGGTGTTTTAAAACTTGGATTCCACTAAAATCCTTTTATTTTGGATAATTTTTGACAAGATGCGCAGAACACAATAGAATGTTATAAAGCTCTGAAGTTAGCATACACGTATCTGTGGCACTGGGCAAATACACCCTTTATTTCTACACTTTTTGAAGAGATATGTTGCAAAGATACTAAGAAGTTGAAAATGCTAAACATGTTTCTTTATGTTATGTTATGTTTTATGTTATGTTGTGTTATATGTTATATGTTTAAACAATTCTTTCCAATTATTCAAAATTTATTTCAAAAAGCCTTACCTGGTAATGACAAATTAGAGAGAGGTACAGCCCAAAGACTTTCTGGTAAATCAGACATCCACTGATCAGCTTCACTGCCCAGGTTAATGGATTTCTTTTTTGGCTCTTTCTTCCTTTTTCCCATTTTGAATAATGTCCTAGAAAAAAAAAGTCTAATTCAAGAATAGGTTTTAACTCCGTTTTGCAGATGCAAACTTAATTCACTCAGTATCCTCACACATCTCCCATCCTGATGACATTCTCAAAATCCTTCAAAACCTGGCTATTCTTCCAAAGCTTTGAATTGGAATAACTGCAAAATGTTTTTCTTGATGTGCATGGCTTTCTCTTCTGAGTGTACATAATCTATTTCTCAGATTCTTGTTTCTTGAATAGTGCAAGCTACTCAAAATAGCTACATACATCACAGGGGGGGGGTATTTTGAAGTTATGACAAACCTACCCAGAGCTACTTACAACCTATTTTCAAAATTACAATGACTACACACACACACCTACAGTCATATGATTACATTTGGGGCACTTGGCAATCAGTTTACCTTTTAAGGCTGTTTACAGCACCCCACGCTCATGTGATCTCAATTTGCAAATTTTTTTTTGCCTGTATCCAATGTTTATTTCTGATTTTGGCAAAAAATATGCCATTTGTTTATATGGATTCGCTCAACAACTGCAGCATTCATTTAAAAACTGAGCTGTTTGTAATTACTACTGCAAAAAATGATGAACAAATAAGGTCCAGTCACATAATGCCTTGAGTTATGACCGCAACTGTAATTCTGAGTTACCGGACAATAATTGTTGACTTGTGAGTTCAGTTACATAGCTCTCGTTCTGGTTCTTCCCCCTCAGTTTTAGATCTATAACCCCCCAGATTCCCCACTCTTTACACAATTCTGGCTCAGCATCAGTGATGTCCACACTGTGTATGTGGAAGGGGGGAGGTTTAAAACAGGTAAGGGAGCCTCATCATCCAAGCCCTTCCTGTTTTGTTATATGTGTAATACAGGTTCAAAAGGGGCAGAATGTGGATTATGATGCCACACTTACCATCTTGCAGATTTTGACACACATACACAGATGGTTATGGATGCTGTTCCTCAGATTTTCTGATAGCTGTGATAAAAGAAGGAATACAGTGGTAACTTGGTACTCATCATTAATTGGTTCCAGGAGGCATGATAAGTACCAAAAATGATGAGTACCAAACAAAGTTTTTTCCAAAAGGAATACACCAGGAATGAATCACCAGGCAGTCAACACTGACAAGTTCTACCTTTGCATTGAGTACCAAACAAACAATGGTACTGGAACTAAATTTTGCATCAAAATGCATTGAGTACCAAGTTCAATCAGTTTCAAAGCAACTGAGTACCAAAGTACCACTGTAATATCATCAGCCCAAGTCCTCCCAATAATAACATCAGTGCAACTCCTTTCTGTGACTGATACACATGGATACATAACCTTCAGTGTCAGTCCAATAGTTCAAGATAAGCTGAAGCCACATCATCAGGATCAATATTTGTATTGCTGACACCAAAGCCAATTCATACTATTAAGCTATCCAGCTAAAACAGAGCTATTTCTAACAAAAGATTCAGACAATTATCTTTAACTGATCTTCACTCTCAGAGCTCAATAACCTAAAGTGAGGCTTTTCAAATGCTGGGTTTCTGAGAACTGATGGGGATTCTATGAAAGACTAAGGACATCCCCCCCCCCAAAGTAGTTCACTTAAGCACAGTCAATTTTCTACCACTAGACTTGGTTTCTTAATCAAAGATACTACCATAGGATATTTCTTTTTAATTAACTGGTTCTCTGGTTTAAACATATCATCCCCTAAGGCTGTGGTGGCGAACCTATGGCACGTGTGCCACAGGTGGCATGCAGAGTCCTCTCTGTGGGCACACATGCCGTCGCCCCAGTCCTAGGCCTTCAGCTGGGTTTTATAAAACCTTTTCACTTTAGGCCTCCGCTGCTGTGTGCAAAAAAAAAAGGTTCAATCAATCAATTTCAACTTCTCGCGGGGAAAAAAAAAGATCTCGCGAAGTTGGAATTGATTGAACTTTTTAGTCCCGCCTAGTCTGCCTTTACCACCGCAGCCACGCCCACCCAATGGGCCACGCCACCCAATGGGCCACACCCACCCAATGGGCCACGCCCACCCAGCATCTGAAGATACATAAGTGGGTTTTGGGTTGCAGTTTGGGCATTTGGTCTCTAAAAGGTTCGCCATCACTGCCCTAAGGTTTCCGGGTTAATCCAAATGAAATAGATGTTCAGATCTTTCACAACTTTCAGTAGGCATTCTTTTTGTAGATATTGGAATTGTTAATTTCATATTGCTGATGTTTTTACTTTATATTGTCCAAAGCCAAAATAAAAACATTCTATAGCATCGTGTATTTTCACTAGGTTACAAAAAACCAAATACTATAATGCCCAGTATGATTAAACATCTATAATTTAGGAAAATTGATTAGAATGCATGTTATTGTTCACTGAAATCTAATTTATGTCATGCACTTTGTTCAACAAGCTCACTTGAATCTAACCTCATGCTACATAGATATTTTATGGCTTTGCCAGCAGATGTACAGCTACAAGCTGTAAATAGATGCAACCTAATTATCTGATTCAGGTCCTTCCACTGTTGACCTATTTTCATATAATCCTTTTGAGTGTTGCTTATTGTTTCTTAAACGATTTTCCTGCCCCCATAAATTGTCAGTTAAAAACACAACTCTTTGAGGAGTGTGTCACAAAGGTATAAACTCAGAACAGCCTCCTTGAGCTTGAATTTATCATAACATGCCATATTCCTCTTATTGTATTTTCATCTGACTGGCTTCAGAAAAGTCTACCAGATTCAGTGGGCATTAAAAGTTGTTTCAGATGAAATTTATAAGCCAAAGAAATAACTCCCCTGTAGACAATCTCTTCCACATATAGTCAAGTTAAAGCAGTAAGAATGTTATCAATTTGATTCATATCGGTATGGCCACATGCAATTAATTTGATCTAGAAACAATTATTACTAAAAAGCCATTTTTTTCTGGAAATATATTGCATCTCATTCTGGATCTAAACATTTAAAAAGAAGAAGAAAGAAAGAAATGCTCTGTATTTAAGAACACCTTCAAGCATGCGGTGTGTCAGTATTCACGGAGGACCCAGAAATTGGACCTGTTATCTATAAAAATGATAATTTTTTAAAATGAAGTTGAATCCAAGCAATTTCTACAACCATTTTTCACAAACTGGTGGCTCCCAGATGTGCTGAACAACAGCTCCCATCATCCCCAGCCATCAAGATTCTATGCTCTTCCAACAAAGAGCTAACAGTCACATTCCCAAATTGGCAGAAACTTTGATTAAAATAGCTAAAACTGTATTTATCTGTACATAGGACATTGTTTACATTGTTTACATTGATGCAGCCTGCAGCATTAGTGAAACCTTTAAGTCATAATTACTGGGCATAGGACACATGACTTATGACTCATATGACCCCTCACTTGGGCTCAGCCTGGTCAACTCCTACATATACTTCTGCTATTCTCCATATAGATATGCAGGTGCCATCACATTTAAAGGAATCTCTAATGTTACCTTCAGATTTTCAAATTGGTCTAAGATACCACCCCAAGAGAGGTACAAGATTTACTATAAAAAAACAACAACACTTCTCAAATCTTTCTCTCTCCAGTAAGTATATGAGGTGGTTTTCTGGTTACTGATTATCATTTTCCTACTGTCTCCCAATGAAATCAATGTGATAACTCTAGGTTAGCACAAATAGGGGCCTCTCAACAAAGCTAACTCTGAGGGTGAAGGTTCATTCTCTGAGCTTGTGGGATGGTTTCCAAACATTTTGTTATCAGGCTAGGTAACATCTTCAGCAGAGTTTAGGGGATGTCAGTGTTCTTCTGTTTATAAGGGCTTCATGTGGTCAGTAGGTCTTGTGATGGGTCAGGTGTGGGTGTGTCAAGTGAGGATCTTGTAATGAGTCAGGTGTGGGTGTGTCAAGTGAGGATCTTGTAATGGGTCTTGTGATGGTCAGGTGTGAGTCATCAGTGGGAATCTTGTAATGGGTCTTGTGGTGGGGAGGTTACATCAGGTCAGGGCCATTGGAAGGTGAAGTGCTGGCTGGGGGCCTTGCATGGGTTGGTTGGGGTTGGGTGCTGTCTCTGGTAGCTGTGCGGTTGATTTGGATTCTGAGGGGTTTGTAGGCTGGTTGTAGGTCAATGTGTCTGTTGATGGAATTGCTTGTGAAACATCAGGCTTCAATGAACTCCTGAGCATGGCAGGTGGTAACATGGCGGATGACTTTGGTGTTGCTCCAATCAAACTGGTATTGTTTGGTGTTGGTATGGGTAGAGATGAAGGATTTGGGATCGTGGCGTTTGATTGCTAGCTGGTGTTCATGATTCTCGTTTTTAATTGACATGTTTGTCCCATGTAGAATTGGTTGCAATGACTACAGTTGATTTTGTAGATTACATTGTTTCTTTCATTTTTCTGTATCTTGTCTTTTGTTCTGGATAATTCCTGGCAGAGAGTGGCTGTTTCACAACACCTATCACAACATCCTCACTTGACACCCCCACACCTGACCCATCACAAGACCTACTGAACACATGAAGCCCTTATAAACAGAAGAACACTGACATCCCCTAAACTCTGCTGAAGATGTTACCTAGCCTGATAACAAAATGTTTGGAAACCAACCCACAAGCTCAGAGAATGAACCTTCACCCTTATCCTAAACCCGAGCTACAAATACTTTCCATGATTGCAAACCCCTAACTCTGTTTGGGCCCTTACCAGCTGTTTTCCTATTTCTATAAAGCTGAGAGAGATTACTGTAGGTCTGTCAAGAAAAAAATATGCCTTCTGTTAAAGATGGTCTTACACACCATACTAAGCCCTCTCAACCAGTGGGTTTCAGAGTTAGCGATGATCCAGTTGAAGTAATCTGATGAGTCTGCTTGACTGAAATAAGAAATTCTCATATGTGGAGCCTGGGTGCTCCCTGAGCTTAGTTGTTTTCATGCAGATATTTCATTACCCCATTAGGTAACTTTTTCAGTGGTGGAAGAGAGTAGAGTTTGCTCTATGTTATATACAGTAGCTTGCACTGTCAGTGTTGGTGGGGGTAAATACTTTGATTAGGTTGTTATTTACTATTTGATTGCTTGGCTGGTGTTAATTCTGATGTTAATCTCTGCTTATTTGGATGTAGATTGCTTGCCAGGTGGTATTCTGGTTTTTTTTGTTTTGTTTTTGTTAGAGAATTTTAATTTCTCTATTGGTGAAAAAATAAATCAGCTCTCACAGTTGACTGCATTTAGCTGATTCAAAATAACTTCTTTACATATATATCAAAATATTTACAATACCATACATTCTTCTTTACAGCAACATAGCTCAATTGAAGATTTCTTACAGAGAGATACAGAGACAGACCTGAGACTGGAAATCCAGCTCCTAACTCAATACCTTTTGCACAGACTCAGTAGCTCTTTCTTCACATTGGCTGACTGAGTTACCACATGACTCTTCCTGCTCATGAATATTCCAACACTCCTCCCTTCATGACAGGAAGAGACATCAGACCTATTAACTTAATACATTCTTTAATCGTGAAAAACCTTGTGCCACTAACCTGGCCTTATACTGTACATCATTATTTGGCAATACCTTTTTCTGATATACCCACTTACAACCCACAGCTTTGGTTCTCTGTGGCAAAGTCACTGATTTAAATACTTCATGGTCTCCCATGGATTTCATCCCTTTATCCATGGCCTCCTTCCATCTTTCTTGTTCAGCTTTTGGTAATGCCAACACTTCTTTATAACGTCTTGGCTCATACCACACATTGCAAACCTTTACCTTGCTGGCAGAATACCTGTCAGGCGGAATTCCTTTGTTACATCACTCTGACCTACGTGGTAATAACTGCTCCTGTGTCTCAAGTCTATCTGGCTTCATGTCTTGTTCAGCCTCTCCTCCCTGAACATTGACATCTTCAATAATCATTTTTCCATCATTAGATGAGTTATTGTCATTAAATAGATCACCGTCATTAAGTGAGACATACCTAG